ACACACACACACACACACACACACACACACACATACACACACACACGCATACACACACACACACACACACACCACACCACAACACACACACACACACACACACACCACACACACACACACACACACACACACACACACACACACACACACACACACACATATATATATTATGGTATGCATGGTGTTGGCGCGTTCTGTCGCAGTCACAGCCGCAAGTGAGCGTGAATGCTTTACATGACAGAGAATGAGATTGATGGAAAAGGTCAGGCATCGGCTGTGCGCTGCGCACAAATACGCGCTGCGATGACGTAAAACTTTTATCAATTGCTATACGCATCAGGTGACGCCATCGCGGGCAAGTGACGGCCACGAGCGTATAATCGTATGCCAGTAAGAACATTCATGTGTAACGCGTCCGAAATCTGAAATGGACCACTGTCAAAAACGAAATGCTTCTTTGTCGCCAAGGGCTATAGTTGCCCTACTAACGACGTGGGCGCCGCGCGCGCGCGCGGTGTGTGTGTGTGGTGTAGTGTGTGTGGTGTGTGTGGTGTGTGTGTGTGTGTGTGTGTGTGTGTGTGTGTTGTGTGTGTGTGTGTGTGTGTGTGTGTGTCGCGTTGTGTGTGTGTGTGTGTGCAGAATCAAGGCGGCCTGCAGAGTAGTATAAGTACCGAGGACTTTAAATGAGAATCAAGCGTCCCTGCAGATTACATACAAACGTGCGCACGGTTCTGTCATGCAAAGGACTGTCGCTCCTGCGAGTATATCAACGATATTCTGGGAGGATGTATATACCCGCACATGTATTCAATAAAAACATATATTCTCCTCCAACTCAGACGAACTACCGTGATTAGATATGACACATTACTATTGGCCTATTATCACCAGACAAACTTAATTCTATACGCGTCCAAGGCCCATGGGCCCGTTGTCAGAGACATCGTAAAGTTAATGCTAATGTTAATGCTAAGCCTAAATGTTAAACCTAATTTTTGTTTGTAAGACGGGCTCCAGAATTGCATGGCCAGATAGAATTTCTAACATAACAGGCTTGATTAATGATTGTACCCAGGCTATCCTTGACTCCATTGCATCGCTCCAGCTCACTACACACAATTATCATGATATGTGCATGCTACCTCATTTGCATTTTACCGATTGAATATGTTAATTGGGTGGTTGATACGGATGGCGAAAAACCAAGTGATCGACGTCCACCAAGTTCACGTTCATCTTCTAAGTAGCGCAAGAGTGCATGAGACCACCCTCCGATCCACAACCCCCTCCCACCCACAGGCCACGACACGACGCACAGGCACGCACTCACCCACCACGCGGCTCACACCCACACGCTCACACACACCCACAAGCACGCTCACACCCACACCGCTCACACACACCCACAAGCACGCACTCACCCACACGCACGCACACACAACACGCTCGCACCCCCCCTCACCCACACGCTCACGTACCACACACACCACAAGCACGCACCACCCACACGCACGCACACACCACACGCTTGCACACACCACCCACGCACACACACACACACACAAATCACCTACCACCCACACGCGCGCACGCACCCACCCAAACACAAACCAATCATCCACCCACGCACACGCACGCACACAGCCACACGCACGCACACACCCACAGGCATTATCAGCGAATTCACAACATTACGACCCACACGTTACGTCATTCGAAATTTTAGCATAAAAAAGACCTATATTCTACACAGCCATATACTTACAATACATGCCAGCGCCCATAACAATCGATGTGGAATGTGGTCACGGAGGTCATAGATATACCGGTGAATTACCCCAGTGGCTGCGACCGTCTTTCGCTTACCAAATCTTCTCTCATCAGTTTGTTTTCGACTGATGCTCTACGGTTCTGCTTTACCGTATCTACGTTTCTCGCAAATATCATCGGATGTTATGCGAACGCGGCAGCGAGGCCGTGGTCCAGAACAGCATCGCGAAGAGTTTAGTATCAGGGGTTAATAATGACACATTTTTGGAAACCGATGTCGTTGTACAAATACGATTTTGTCACAAACGACAAGGGAAGCGTACGCGGTTTGTCTTATGCCTGGGAAAGTAGAGTGGATAAGGACCACTGTGAGGAAAAAGCTCAAGGTTGTGTACAATTTTATTTGCATTCAGACAGTACACCGGGGAACTGCGGCCTTACTTCGCAATAGTAGGACATATAAATGTATGGTTAGAATAAAAAAATCGTCATGCATGGATGTGCCTATAAAGGATGATGTGGAAGCCGGTGTGTCGTGTGTGTGTCTGTTGTCGTGTGTGTGTGCTGCGTGCGTGCGTGCGTGCGTGCGTGTCAGCTGCGTGTATGGAAGGTCCTCGACGTAAGCTGACTGATGGACACAGCTGGACAAAGCAAGCCTGTACCAGTAGTACTGAGTAAGCAAGCTACGAGTCTTCTTATAAGACGTCCTATAATCGCTTTTGACATTATACCCTACTCCGTTCCTGGCGCGTTCAAGATACACCCTTATCGAAAATTTCGTGGAAGTTAAGCTACATGTAGTAGGACATTGAAATAGCATCGCACATGAAGGCCTGCAAGACTGAGAAGAAAAAAACACCTGTTTCCCGTTGGTGAAGTAGATACGCGCCACTGCCCAAACCATAAACAGACGGGTAGTCAACTGATAAAAACTGCAAAGTTCGCGAAAAATATTATATGAGACAAAAGTGCTGGTTCAACTAAATCCTGTTCACGCGAATTTCGTGTAAAACTGATGGTAGCAAATGATAAACACGAACAGATCGTTGTAGAAAAATACATATGCTTCTACAAGGATAACACTCCCACTAGAAAACTATGTGCTGTATTGTTCCGAGTCCTGCATTCGAGTACAAATACACACTAATACCATTCGGAACAACAAGTGAACGCGGTATACGTACGTCACTCACTCACCACAGCCAGCTGTAAATATGATAATAGTTCCGTCAGGTCAAGTAAACGCTTACGGCTAGGTACACATCGCTCGCAATAGCGCTCAGACATATCATCGTGTGAAACGGAAATATAAACGTTTTTCCTTGTTGCAGAGAGTGGCAAACAACATGATTCCTAAGGTCCATTGCACTCGCATTGCGTGTGAAGAGGTTACCTACGCGTATTGATCCGAAAATTTGAATAGTAACTTTACGGTCTAACGCAGATGTCAGGGTTTCTTAAAGCACCTTCGCTATCTCATTCTTATATGTTTAACCATCGTCTCTTCAAAAGCACACCACTATTTTGTCTGATTTGCTCATATATTCACACAGATGAAAACGGGATGTTATGCATGGCAATGCGATTAGAAATTTCCTGCTTAAAACGCTTACTATGCATTTTAAGAAGAAATTCTATGTTTAATACGATTTGAGCTTTAAGTAGTTTAAACCCTACTTAATCTACGCTACATCACGGATTTTGAAATAATTAATTAGCAATCAAGCAAATCATCCCGTCAGCTATCTAAACATTACACGAACACGAAAAACAACACGTTAACTACGAAAAATGTGAAGAGAATATGACGAAGAAACAGAGACTTAATATTTTAAAAATAAAACATATAGAATTGAGTAGCGCCAATGGACTCAATATACATGTGTTGGCATAAATGAAGTTTAGCACGATATATTGGGATTCATATGTGATGCCTAATACATACATATAAGGGCTGAGCGCACGCGACATCTATATATCTCAGCATTAGGGAATAGCTGTGAATAATACTGGTGTATATACATAGCTAATATGTGTGAACTTCAACGCATGAACGTTTGTAGCGGATATAATAACTCTACTATAGTACCGCTGTTCGCACTAAAACTAATTTGATTAACATAAATGTTTGGCCATGTAAATAAATCCTATCAGCTTCGTGAATTTAGTCGTACCAATTACATATTCTGTAAATTACAAACAGTGATAAGCCTATGCTAGTTACGGTTACTGATCGCGCACGCAACGTCGATTATCCGAATAGGCAATCAATAGTCAATAATCAATAGCACTCACTCCCTCAACGTGACAGTACACTTAGTGACAGGCGTCAATATCTTACAATAGAACACCCGCACATACGCGCATCACCAACGCCCGTTATCAGGCACAACCGAACTTCACTCATAAACACTTAATCTCATCTTAACCATTAATCATCAGTATTTTATTGCGGGCGGTAGCAAATTAGTATGCTTCGTCTGGCCAAATACTAACTGACTAATACGACGGGAGCGTTTAACACTCGCTACCTCTGCCATTTCCTCAGGATAGAAATTTTGAACTAACCCTACCCTAACCTTGAACCCAACCCTAACGCTAAACCTAACATCGCCTACCTCTGTCAAAACCGTTCCTCTGCTCGATTGCTGATATGTCAGCCGGATGGTGTAGCAGCAGCAGCACCAGTAACAGGTTACAGGAGCCCGTCATCTCGCGCGGCCTGCCAGGAGCACGGAAGATCCCTGCGCCTGGCCGGCGACAGCTTAACTGACAGTCATGTGTTCCTCGTAGAAACACCTCTGTCTCTAATATCCCTAACGGAGGCATGCATCATGTTCACGGTGTGTGTGCGGGCGTGCGTGCGTGCGTGCGTGCGTGCGTGCGTGCGTGTGTGCGCGCGCGCGTGTTCTGTGGGTAGGCCTACAAGTGTGGACGTGTACGTGTACATGTGCGGGTCTGGCTGCTTGTGCTTTTGTGCACACATGTATAAATATATTTATATACGTAGATACTAAGTAGAACGGATGAATTTAACTTCATATCACCAACTATACGTATAGTGTCTTTTAATTGACGCGTATGGCGAAATCAAGCCATTAAATCATTTTTAAATATATGATATGTAATGTCTGTAACCCTCAGACTTTTTCTTTAGTGGCTACAGGAACTTACACCTATGGTATGCACACGCGGGGTGGTGAAATTTTAAAAGATAACGTCATAGCAGAAGCATGGAAGCAAATGTATTTAGACGTGTACCTACAGCAAACAGCTGAATTTATGCCGCCATTGATCTGTGAAGGTCAACAGTAGGATGTATGAGGTCATAATGTGGCGCCTCTTAACCTGATAAGATACAATGCAGATTTAATTAAGAACTTCATTGTGATTGGTTTTGCGACATAACGCGTGGTGAGGTTACAGTGACTAGTAACCAGTAACTAGTATCTTCTACCCCAGTGCCGCCTAGTGGTGTATTCTAGCATACTAATAATAATAACAATAAGAATAAGAATAAGAATAAGATTAATAATGATTATGATGGCAAATTCAGAGCTGCTCGTCAATGTGGGGGAACGGAACGAGAGAAAATATATGTTGCGAACAATCGCATCACTTGCGCGTGTTCAGTAACAACCTATCTATGAACATGATCTATATAGAAGTATATAGAAGTCGAGTTCGCAATATTCTCATGAGTGATTAAACTTTAGCCACTTCGGCGCCAAAAATCCGTTTGCACGATTTCTGTTTTTTGGCATATATGACAGGTACCTATGGTAAATACATGCCATCTTCGTGAATAGTAATTATATTGTAATTGGCCGACGCTTCCAGCACCACAACAATCGGATCAGTGGACCATAACTAACTCTTTTACGCTAAAATACTTCATTCTCTCAGTTCTATGACCTTCAATATCTCTCTCTCTCTCCGCCTCTCTCTTTCGCTCGCACCTTTCGCCTATAATCTATATATTTATGTTCGTTACACCTATGACCCGTGGAAGAAAAAATGCAACCTACTGAGTAAACAGTTCGATGTGAAATGATGCGGGCAGCAATGTTTGTGTTATCGGAGGGTCTAATTACTTTTATTTTTTGCTTGCAATTGGACAGCGTGACGATATTCGATGAACAACTTCAGGTTGAGTGTCGTCAACCTCTCATTACGCTCCCGCCTAAACGAACAAAAATTGTATGCCCTTGTAGTTATCTCGAGAGATTTCCTCTCGCTAAAACCAGTTCGACTCTTCCCTGTTACACCGGTACACGACGAACACAAACATGTTTTCAATGGCTAGCCCTAGCCACTTCAGGGTATATATGATGTTCCGAGTCAGTGCCCCTTCATGGCAACATGGTCTCGGCTGCGACCTTCATGCCCACTAAAACCAACTGTAACTGTTTGTGTGGCTGCATCTTCCAGGCTGTCCGAGTCGCGCATACACCCGTCGAAATATGGCGATGTGCGCTAAAGTAACGCAATGGCTGTGATCGTGAACATGATGCATGCTCCGTTAGGATATTAGAGACAGAGGTGTTTAGAGAGACAATGACTTCATTAAGCTGTCGCCGGCAGGCGCAGGGACTCCGTGCTCTGGCACGGCGCGCGGAGATGACGCTCTGTAACCTGGTACTGGTGCTGCTGCTGCTACACATCCGGTGCACATATCAGCAATCCGAGCACGAGGAAACTGACAGAGGTAGGCGATTGTTAGGGTTAGCGTTAGGGTTGGAGTTAAGGTTAGGGTTAGGGTTAGTCAAATTTTCTATCCTGAGGAAACTGGCAGAGGTAGGCGAGTGTTAAACGGTCGTATTAGTCAGTAGTAGTTGGCCAGACGAGCAATACTAATTTGCTACCGCCGCACATAAAATATTATGATTAGATGTTTAAGATTGAGATTAAGGTTTATGAGTTGAAGTTCGGTTTGTGCTGATAACGTGCGTTGGTGATGGCGTATGTGCGGGTGTTCTATAGTAAGATTGACCCTGTCACTATAGTGTACTGTCACGTGAGGGGAGTGAGTGCTATTGATTATTGACTATTGATTGCCTATGATAATCGACGTTGCGTGCCATCAGTAACGTAACTAGATAGGCTAATCACTGTTTGTAATTTACAGATAATTTAATTGGTACGATAAATTTACGAATGCTATAGGATTTATTTACATGGCAAACATTTATGTTAATCAAATTAGTTTAGTGCGACAGCGTGACTATAGTAGAGTAATGATATCCGCTCCAAACGTTCATGCGTTGAAGTTCACACAGTATTACTCTGTATTACACAGTATTACACAGTATTCCCTAATGTGAGATATAGATGCGCGTGCGCTCAGCCCTTATATGTATGGTATTAGCATTCACATATGAATCCCATATACGTGCTAATTCATTATGCCAACACATATATTGAGTCCAGTTGCCTACTACAATTCTATACGTTGTTATTTTAAAATATTAAGTCTCTGTTTCTACGTCATATCTCTTCACATTTTTCGTGTTAACGTGTTCGTTTTTCGTGTTCGTGTAATTTTAATAGCTGCGGATGATTTGGTTGATTGCTAATTAATTATTCAAAATCCGTATGAGCGTAGATTTAAGTAGGGTTTAAACACCTTACAGCTCCAAATCGTATTAAACATAGAATTTATTCTTAAAATGATATAACGTTTTAAGCAGAAATTTTCTAATCGCATTGCATGCATACATCCCGTTTCTCTGTGAATATATTTGAGCAAATCAGACAAAATAGTGTGTGCTTTGAAGAGACATGGTAAACATATAGAATTGAGATAGGAAGTGCTTATAAAAACCCTGACATCGCGTTAGACCGTAAAGTTACATTCAAATTTTCGGATCAATTACGCGTAGGTAATTCTCTTCACACGCAATCGAGTGCAATGGACTTGGAATCAATTTGTTTGCACTCTTGCAACAAGGAAAAAACGTTATTTTCCGTTTCACAATGATTATGTCTGAGCGCCTTGCAGCGATGTGTACCTAGCCGTAAGCGTTTACTTATACTGACGGAACTATTAGCATTTTTACAGCTGAGCTGTGGTGAGTGACTGACGTACGTATACGCGTTCACTTGTTGTTCCGAATGTTATTAGTGTTGTTATTTTACTCGATCAGGCTCGGAACAATACAGCACATAGTTTTCTAGTGGGAGTGTTATCCTGTGAAGCATGGTATTTCCTACACGTATGTCGTGTTTATCATTGCTACATCAAGTTTTACACGAAATTCTCCTGACAGGATTATAGTTGAACCAGCACTTTTGTCTCATATAATATTTTTCGCGACTTTGCGATCTTTTTATCAGTTGACTATCCGTCTGTTCTATATTTGGCAGTGGCGGGTATCTATTCACCAACGGGAAAACGAGGTGTTTTCTTTTCTTCTCAGTTTTGCCCAGCCTATGTGCGATGCTATTCAATGTCTACTACATATAGCTTAACTTCCACGAAATTTTGCGATAAGGTGTATCCTTGAACGCGCATGGACGGAGTAGGGATTATAATGTCGAAGGCGATTATAGGACGTCTTTTAAGAGAGCTCGTAGCTTGCTTACTCAGTACTACCTGGTAGCAGCTTGCTTTGTCCAGCTGTGTCGATCAGTCAGCTTACTCGGAGGACCTTACATACACGCACGCACGCACGCACGCACGCACACACACACACACACACACACACACACACACACACACACACCGGCTTCACATCATCTTTATACACATCCATGCATGACGATTTTTCATTCTACATACATATATTCTACTTTGAAGTAAGGCCGCAGTTCCCCGGTGTACGTCTGAATAAAAATAAAATTTTACACAAACTTTAGCTTTTTCTGCACAGTGGTCCTTATCCACTCTATCTTCCGGCAGCATAAGAAAACCGCGTAGCTTCCTTCGTTGTGACAAAATCGTATTTGTACACGACATGGTTTCCAAAAATGTGTCATTATTAACCCCTGATACTAACTCTCGATGGTTTCTGACCCCTCCTCCTCTTCCGCATACATCGATGATATTTGCGAGAACGTAGATGCGGTAAGCAGAACACGTAGAGCATCATGAAAACACGAGAGAAGATTTTGGTACGAAGACGGTCAGCCACCGGGTGGTAATTCACCGTATACTATGACCTCCGTGACCACATTCACACATCGTTGTTATGGGCGTGCATGTATTGAAGTAATATGGTGTGTAGAATATAGGTCTTTTTTATGCTAAAATGATCGAATACGTACGTGTGTGGTATGTGTGTGAATTCGCTGATAATGCCTGTGGGTGTGTGCGCGTTGCGTGTGGCTGTGATGCGTGGTGTGCGTGGGTGGAGTGCATTGGTTTGTGTGTGGCGTGCGTGCCGCGTCTGTCTCGGCGTGGCGAGCGTCGGTTGTGGGTTGGTAGGTGATGTGTGTGTGTGGATATTGGTGTTGCGGTGTGCGTGGGTGGGTGTGTGCAAGCGTGTGGGTGTGTGCGTGCGTGTGGGTGGGTGCGTGCTTGTGGGTGTGTGTACGTGAACGTGTGGGTGAGTGGGTGCGAGCGTGTTGGTGTGTGCGTGCGTGTGGGTGAGTGCGTGCTTGTGGGTGTGTGTGAGCGTGTGGGTGTGAGCGTGCTTGTGGTGTGTGTGAGCGTGTGGGGGAGCGCGGTGAGCGTGTGGGTGATGTGCGTGCCTGTGCGTGTGTGCGTGCCTGTGGGTGGGAGGGGGGTTGGTAGATCGGAGGGTGCTCCATGCACTCTTGCGCTACTTAGAAGATATAACTACGTAGACTTGGTGGACGTCGATCACTTGGTTTTTCGCCATCTCGTATCAACCACCCAAATTAACATATTCAATCGGTAAAATGCAAATGAGGTAGCATGCACATGATGAATAATTGTGTGTAGTGAGCTGGAGCGATGCAATGGAGTCAAGGATAGCCTGGGTACAATCATTAACTCAAGCCTGTTATGTTAGAAATTCTATCTGGCCATGCAATTCTGGAGCCCGTCTTCACAAACAAAAATTAGGTTTAACATTAGGCTTAGCATTAACATTAGCATTAATTTACGATGTCTCTGACAACGGGCCCATGGGCCTTGGACCGCTATAGAATTAAGTTGTCTGGTGGAATAATAGCAATAGTAATGTGTCATATCTAATCACGGTAGTTCGTCTGAGTTGGAGGAGAATATATGTTTTTATTGAATACATGTGTTCGGGTATATACTCCTCCCAGAATACGTTGATATACTCGCAGGAGCGACCAGTCTTTGCATGCAGAACCGTGCGCACGTTTGTATGTAATCTGCAGGGACGCTTGATTTCCATTTAAAGTCCTGGGTACTATACTACTCTGCAGGCGACGCCTGATTCTGCACACACACACACACACACACACACACACACACACACACACACACACACACACACACACACACACACACACACACACACACACACACACACCACACACACACACACACACACCGCGCGCGCGCGCGCCCACGTCGTTAGTAGGGCAACTATAGCCCTTGGCGACAAAGAAGCATTTCGTTTTTGACAGTGGTCATTTTCAGATTTCGGACGCGTTCACATGATGTTTCTTACTGCTACGATTATCGCTCGTGCCGTCACTTGCCCGCGATGCGTCAACCTGATGCGTATAGCAATGATAAAAGTTTTACGTCATCGCAGCGACGTATTTGTGCGCATGCGCAGCCGATGCTGACCTTATTCGCATCAATCTCATCTTCTGTCATGTAAAGCATTCACGGCTCACTTGCGCTGGTGACTGCGACAGAACGCGCACACACATGCATACCATATATATATATATATATGTGTGTGTGTGTGTGTGTGTGTGTGTGTGTGTGTGTGTGTGTGGTGTGTGTGTGTGTGTGGTGTGTTGTGTGTGTGTGTGTGTGTGTGTGTGTGTGTGTGTGTATGGCGTGTGTGTGTGTATGTGTGTGTGTGTGTGTGTGTTGTGTGTGTGTGTGTGCTGTGTGTCAGCGGGCCGTGCGTGGTGCCTGTGCGGTGCTGCTGCCGTCGTCGTGTGTGTGCGCCGCCGCGTGTTTACTGTGGGTAGGCCTACAAGTGTGGACGCTGTCGTGATACATCGTGCGGGTCTGGCTGCTTGTGCTTTTGCTGCACACATGTATAAATAATATTATATAACGTAAGATACTAAGTAGAACGGGATGATTTAAACTTAATATATCACAACTATACGTATAGTGTCTTTTAATTGACGCGTATGCGAAATACAAAGCCATTAAATCATTTTTAAATATATGATATGTAATGTCTGTACCCCCCAGACTTTTTCCTTAGTGCGCTACAGGACACTTACCACCTATATGTATTGCACACTGCGGCGGACTGGTGAAATTTAAAAAGATAAGCGTACAATAAGCAGAAGCATTGAAGCAGATATGTACTTAGACAGTGCTACTACAGCAAACAGCTGCAGTTTTATGCCGCATTTGCATCTGTGAAGCGATCAACAGTAGGTGTATGGAGGTCATAATGGGTGCCCTTTAAACCTGATTAAGGATACAATGCAGCATTTAATTTAGAACTTTCAATTGTGATTGGTTTTGCGACATAACGCGTGGTGAGGATTACAGCTGCACTGTAACCAGTAACGTAGTATCTTTACCCAGTGCCGCCTTAGTGGTGTATTCTAGCATTACATAATAATAATAACAATAAGAATAAGAATAGAATAAGATTTAATAATGCATTACGATCGGCAAATCAGAGCGCTTGTTCAATGTGTCGCGGAACCGGAACGAGAGAAAATTATATGTTGCGAACAATTCGCAATCACTTGCGCGTGTTTCAGTACAACCTAATCTATGACATGATCTATATAGAAGTATATAGAAGTCGATTTCGCAATATTCTCATGGAGTGATAAACTTTAGCCACTCGCGCGCCAAAAATCCGTTTCACGATTTCTGTTTTTGGCGATATATGGGACAGGCTACCTATGGTAAATACATTGCCATCTTCGTGCAAATAGTAATTATATTGTCAATTGCGCGACGCTGTCCAGCAACCACAAACAAGACGGATCAGTGGACCATAAACTAACTCTTTTACGCTAAATATTCATCTCTCAGTTTCTATGACTTCAATAAAGATTGTGCAAATATCTTATGTGTAGGACCGCTTGTGATGTTTGACAAAGCAGCATTTGTTCGCATTTTATTAACTGGACAAATTACATCAAGGTACGCATATTTTGAAATTGCGTATGTACTAAACTTTTGACTGTATGCGTGTAAAGGACATGAATATCGTAAATCTCACGAGCATTAAATACTTGAGTTTGTATATATTCGCAAGATAAGTTTAGATTTTCGCATATGATAAAGTTGATGACCCCAGAAAGGCATATATAACGTAACATTTAAAATATTTCTTAATAGAGATTTCCATCACACACAGTTTGATGAATTACTGAATAATTGTGCGCTGAAGGTAAATTTTCTAGATAGATCATTTAGTGAGTTGCTTCTCTCGTAATGCCGTGTAGTATCAGCGCGCCGTGTTTCACGGACACGAACGTGTCTATTAAACACGGGAAAGTCTGTGTAGTGAAAGTTTTAGGTTACGAGGGGCGTGCGTAGGCACGCCATCGTCAAACAAATTGCTATTTTTTTTTATCCTCTAGCCAAACACGTGCACATTTACTATACCGCTTAGTTTCCCCTAGTTCTTTGTATAGCTATATTATGTGCGCATGTGTATGTGCGTGCGTACGGGCGTGCGTGTGCGTGTATGTGTGTGCGTTGCGTGCGTGCGCGTGTATGTGTGTGTGTGTGTGTGTGTGTGTGTGTGTGTGTGTGTGCGTGCGTGCGTGCGTGCGTGCGTGCGTGTGCGTGTGTGCGTGTGCGTGTGCGCGCGCGCGTGTGTGTGTGTGTGCGTGCGTGTGTGTGTGCGCGCGTTCGTAAGCGCAGGCTTGTTGGGAGTATGGTTGTGAACAGGTGACATAGAAAGAACCTCGTTCTTCCCTCTATACTCCTCCTATTCGCTCCTATCCCCACTATTACATGTACGGCCTGGGTGTCATTGTTGTTGTGATTCCCTGTGGCGTTGAAATGTGATTAATCAATTCTGACGTCTGGTTCGTAACTCAGACAAGACCGACGCCATGATGATTGTCCAGTGTATAGATATATATCAAGAAATATGCGTAGTATTGCCGTTGGCTATGGCATGTAAGAACAAGAAAAAATAAACAGATAAATCGTTGCAACGGAGACTACGTATTGACTAACTGCCTGCAGCCATACTACTGGAAGATGAAACAGCCCTGTGGATGACATTTTTCCCATTAATAATGGCCACGAAAGACTGATTTACTGTAAATAATATTATATATATATATATATATATATATTGATGTGTGCGCTGATTTCCACTGTGTTGTCTTCTGGGGGTCTTAAATGTTTACTATTATTGACGTTATGAATCTAACGGGGTTTGAAGTGAAGTAGCGGCTAGTCCTATAGCCCGCCGTGAGTATCAATCATGTTATCTTACCCCAGTAATAAACATCAATACCACCCTAATTTCAAATTTCATGTCCAAGTAAATCCCGCGCAGATGATCATTTATAGACTCATTTCATTGACATCCTACATAGACATACTTCCTGCATGTCATCTTACAGAAGCCATACTTCCTACACATCCGATAGAGGGCGACACGGACGAGCACGGCCGGCAGGGGGCGGTAAACATGACGACGGTAGTTCCGGCAGGGAGTCCCGACAGACGATACACACATAACCGCATCGATGCCGCGAGGCGGGGCGCGGGAGGTTAGTTGTCTTATATACGTGCGTGCGTGCGTGCGTGCTTGTGTGTGCTTGTGTGTGTGTGTGTGTGTGTGTGTGTGTGTGTGTGTGTGTGTGTGTGTGTGTGTGTGTGTGTGTGTGTGTGTGTGTGTGTGTGTGTGTGTGTGTGTGTGTGTGTGTGTGTGTGTGTGTGTGTGTGTGTGTGTGTGTGTGTGTCGTGTGTCTGTGTGTGTGTGTGTGT